TGCTGCTGCTGCTGCTGATGATGATGATGATGATGATGATGATGATGATGATGATGATGATGATGATGATGATGATGATGATGATGATGATGATGATGATGAGGAGGAGGAGGAGGAGGAGGAGGAGGAGGATGAGGAAGAGGAGTGGGAGGAGGAGCAGGAGAAGCAGGAGGAGCAGGAGGAGCAGGAGGAGGAGGAGGAGGAGGAGCAGGATGAGGAGGAATAGGAATAGGAATAGGAAGAGGAGGAGTATAGGAATAGGAATAGAAACCAATGGCGCTGCCAATCCCGAACAGACCACACTACTGAGAAGACCTTCGCTGCCGCCGTGCTTGGTCGGCCTTGCTTAGGACTTTGGGGGTTAGCCCACTCTGAATGCGATCCAAATATTCACGCCCCGTGCGTGTGGGGGGGGCCACAGGGTTTGCCGAGGGACCGCAGCTGCTTATCAGCTATGCCCCCGCAATGCCCACAAAACCAAACCTTCAAACCAATGTGATAATTGAGGAGGTGGGAAGGGTGCAGCCAGCCCCCCGCAACATGGATACGGGCTCCTCGGCCAGACGGGGCCATCAAGGTGCCGTCAACATTGTAGAGGGCGGGGCAATCGGTCTTCCACCATTCTGACGCAGTGGCCAGCGTGGCTGACCCGAAGCACTTAATACACTTACGTTTGCACTCCGTGAGCCTGTGAGCCGACAGGAGCGGAGCGAGAGCAGCAGCAGCGGGGCGGGGCGGGGGGGGAGGGGGAGGCGGGACCCCCTCTCTTTTCCTCTCCCTCGCCTCCAACGCAGCCTTCTTCTCAGCTTCAAAACAATCGAGGGTAGCCCTTAGGAGCCTCATCCTAATTTGAAAGGCCTTCTTCTCAATTACTAAAATGTCATGCCTAACACTCTGGGGTACCCTACACGTGTTCGCTGCCGTGTCAGCAAGCTCATCAGCAACCGTGTTCGCCAGCACTAAATTACTTAAGGCACGGCCCTCGACAATATCAGTACTTTCCTGATGGCTGTGGGTGAACACAACTGTGACATCACTAAACTGCCTATTACACATGAGTTCTGCAATCTTGGCCCACAAATCTGCATCAGGCCCTCGGGGGTTGAGGTAATCCTGACAATACCAACTCCCCGCCAGGGGTTGGAAATCGGTGATATACAACAAATGCCCTCGTGTTGTGTGCAAGGCGAGGAGGAACGCACGCAACTCACCTCGGGCAACTACCTGCCTGTGCCCACTTAGGGGTCCAATGATCGAGGCTTCGACAGCGAGGGAGGTGAGCGAAGAACACTTGGCGATCGCAACTCCTACTCGGCGGAGCCTCGGCCACCTCGAGTCGGGTCCGCCCGAGGCATCACCCGCAACCAGAACAGGACAGTCGCGCGAACCAGTGCCGAGGCACCCACCTTCAACCTCATTCACGCCCGTCGCCGTCCAGGAATCACAACCTACGGGCTCTGGGACCTTTGTCCAGGAGGCTGGGATAAGGCCCCTGAGCCAAAAAGCTCCAGCTGTTTCAAGCTGGGTGGTGGCCTGAAAAACTAGGTCGTCAGAGTTTTCAAAGGCTTTGGACCCTGAGTTTTTACAGCAGCCCCAGTACCTGTGAAACAACGCTTCGGGCTTCACGCGGCACCGATCGCACAAATCGTCACCTGTGAAGCTACGTATATCATCTTTCTTCCTAGTCTTAGGCCAGCAGCCTGCGGCTGCTATCATAAGCATTGTCTCAGTAAAACGCTCACCGTCGTGGGAGGCGGCTAGTTGGCGCAGCAAGGCACGATATGAGTCGTTGTCTACTCCGTCTTCCAGCCCTCCTTCCGTGAACTGCGTGCTGGCCTGCTTCCAGACCTGGCTCCTCGCCGCTGCAGCAATGTCCAGCAGCAGGTGCTGGTGCTGGTCGACGTGGGGGTTGCCCGTGTAGCCGCTGTCGGGGAAGATCCACTCCTCGTATGTGTCCTCGCCCGTGCTGTAGCTCCACTGAGACGGCGACACTGGTTGCCACCCTATGCGTAAAAGGTTGAGCACCATTGCTGACACTGGGCCTCGTGCAAGGCGAACTTGATCAGAATGTTTGGCTGTCTGCAACTGCTGAACTATCTTCGGCCAAACCTTCCTGACGCCATCACGTATATGAGGGTGATCTCGCCACGTCTTCAGCCAGAGGTCAGCCCCTTGAACCACCAGGGCTATAGCAGGATCTGCGTTGGGCATCCTGAGGTCCAATGCTGTTGTCAAGCAGCGGCCACGATTGCCATTGCTACACGATTGTGCAAGTCTTCGTCGTACAAGTTTCAGCTGTTCTCCATATACTCCATGAACCTGATGTCCGTACAATCCTGATGGCAAGCCTCCTTGTCGCTGAAGCTTGGCTGTGGCGTGGTATTGTCTACTGGCCCGCGTGTAGCTTCTAATTATCTTCGACATCTTCTTATGCTTATCCTCGCGTGCCCTTCTGGTGGAGCGAGCCAGCCGTCCACGCCCAAAGTCGACCCCCAGGTGTGTGGCCTGGGTGACTCCCTTGATGTGGTAGCCTCGCCCGCGGACAGCTCGGACGGTGGCCTTCGTGTCCTGCACGTTGGTGCACATGATGATCGATTTGTCTGCCACCTTGAGCCGTCGCTGGGCCAGCTGCTCACACGTTTGCACGATGCACTCCACCATCTGGCATCGGATGACCTTCCGCGAGCCGCGGATGGTCTGGGATAGGTCATCCACCCACAATATGTGTCCCATCCGTGGGTGCATGGTGGTCACATGGGCCATCACGAAGTGAGCGAGGGCCTTCGCGAACCTGGTGCCAGAGCGCAGGCCCTGGACCACGCCCTGGCTGGGCTCGAACGGGTCCGTGGCCGCCCCCATCTGCTCGAGAACCCGTGGTGCGATGCATTGTACCAGTTCGAGGTACAGCACCACTGGCGGAAAGTCGAGGCGCAGAGCCGCCTCTACTAGGGGCAGCCACGGTATCGAATCATAACATGCTTCGATGTCTACCATAGCGTGTCCATAATGCATCTGAAACTGATGAGCTACTTCCTCACCAATGGATCTAAGAAACGCCTCTTGGAGGCAAGAGTTGCCTTTTATCGCAGCGTCCCAGAAAGTGGCCTGTTCAAAAGTCCATGTCTGAACGTCACTCTCACGAATCATTGACCATGCTCGTCCTAACATTGACACCAATCCAATTGCACGGTCTCCAGTCGACTTCTTTGGCGTAAGCTTATCTATAATGAGTAATGTTTGGGTTGGCCATGTCAGGGTCGCTTCCACTGCCTCCAGCAAAAGAGTCATCTCTGCGAGCCCAGCTTTCGGCAACCTCTCGAAATCCAGCGGTGTGAACGCGTCAACTCCCATGCCAGTCCGAGGTTTCATCCTCTTGCATGCTCGTACAATGCTGGCCTCACTGATGGGTTCCAGTGGGGCGTCGACTGCCACGGCACGTATGCGATTGAAGAGGTCCCGAGTGTCGGTCAGGCTAACTGGCTTGGGGGCCCACAACTTCTTGAACTTCTTTACTTTCTGGTCCATGATATCGATCGGGTGGTAGATGGCTGAGCCTTGGATGTCCAACTCAACTGCAGGGAGGGGCTGCTTTTTCATTGATTTATGTAAGATGCCTGTTGCCGTAGGCTCTTGGATCCATTCCCCGAAATCCTTCAATGACGGATGCACCGCAATCCGTTGTGCGCGAGCCGCCACGCGTTGAGCACATCTCTCCCAAGACTCCAAGACAGGGCCTGGGAGTTGTGCACCGCCTCTGAGAAAGTCACGCCACTGCTGCCATGAGGGGTCTCGGTGCTCCCGCAATATCGCGTGGGCCCCGCTCGGATAATCATCCACCAACTTCTGACATATCACCCTGTACTCGTCCAACTGCTGCTGTCCATTCTCACGTGTCGTGCGTCGGCACACACCTGCCACAATCGTCGCCACTCGCGTCCACCACTGCGCACGGCTGTCACGTAGGTGGAGCTGCCTCTTGTGCGCGACCTCCCGTGCCTGCCGCGCATGGATCTGCGGACCGTACGCACGAGCTGCTCCTGTCATCGGCTGCTGGTGGTGAGTATGGATGGTGCGTTCGACCGTGGTGGCCCACGCTCCATATATACCTGATATTGAAGCTGAGTGTTTTTCATTGAGCCAAAATGCTACGGACTTGAGTAATGGAGGAGTGACATATTCTAAACAACTGGACCCCGAAGCGAACCCGACCTCAGACCGAACCTTGCACCAGAGACCCTGGGGAATGTTAAACGACGGTTCAGGGGCGGGGGCTCCAGGGCCAGTGGGTAACGGCTCAGGCTCAGGAGTGCTTCTTGAAATATCCCCAGCTTCTGTAGCTACGGGGGGCTGGCTCGAATTGGGGGGGGGCTATCAAACAACACCTGCTCTCCAAGACAACTGCCTGGGCCTTCGAGAGCCGCCTGGGCGCCGGCCTCGGTCGACATCTCGCTGGGCCTGGGCGCGGGAGCGGGGTCGCCGACAGCCGGCGTGGAGGGAGGGGGGGAGGGCGCGACCGCGCCCGCACAAGATAGGAAGTTGAGCTCATCTTCCCACGGGTCAGGCTCATCTGGCCAGTCCTCCACAATATAAAGCTCGCTGGGTATTTCAGGCTCCTCTTGGGCGCGCGTACCCCGGAGAGCCTCGGGGTGAGACGACGACTGGAAACAGTCCCCAAACATTGAATTCAGAAAATCATTCCGCTTGCTTGCAGCCTCCTCTTGGGCCACAAGCTTCTGAGACCTAGCAACGCTGCTTTTGGATCCTGGAGTAGGCGCCGTGCGGGGGCGAGGAAGCTGAGGCAACTTAGAGGGGAGCTCAAGGATCCTAGTGATCAACTGTAGGCCAGAGCTCCGGAACGTAATGTGCAAGCCTGCATGAGGCCTCCATGCTACATCTCTCACCTGTCGTATGTCTTTCACAAAGGGAACTGCCGACTCTGAGCACACCATGAAGTCGATCAAAGAGTCTGGTCCTTTTTTCTGCGCACACGTGCCTCCGCCTGGGGCCGTTCTGACTACACCGCTGAGCCCCTGCGCAAACAGTGAAGCCTTCACGGCCTCTGGTGGCGCATTGAAGTCGCCGACGATCGCCCGCGGCAGCCTCGTAGCCTGTAGCAGCCCGCCCAGACGACTGAATCGGGTCTTGTTCAAGCCGCGCATGCCGAGGGAGGGGTGCCCATATATGAGCACTATGATCATGCTGTACCCGCTGAAATTGATGACAATTGGTAAGAAACCGTCGAAGGCCGAGTGGCCTGTCTCCGAGAGTTGAGCACGAGCAGCGCGCGCTTCGGGAAGAAGGTGTGCCTGTAAATGTTTCATGCCCATGAGCATTTCTCCACCTTCATTCGATCTGCGCTGCTTGCGCTCCGACACGACCTTGCCAGAACTACGCGCTGGATTGTGGTACAATCGGTAATGCATCTGCCTGGCCGTTTGGTCGCACTTCTGAAGTTCTTCACGTTCATGCACATGGGTCTCGATGATACCCCAGAACTCGTACTTCGCCGAATTCTTGGAAATGTATTTCCATACTTTGTCAGAGAGTTCCGCCACGTTCGCCACAAACATGTGCGTCTCTCCGTCAACCTCAGATGCTGACTGCGGGGCCTGAGGTGCACCCCCTGCCTCATGTCAAGCGGCCGCGCCGCCAGGCGCTCCACCAGACTCAGCCGTCAGCTCGCTGCCCTTGCCCTTCGCCTTGGCCGCCGCCTGGTGCGCCTGGAACTTCGCGCCCGAGATCTTCTTCGCCTCCTGATGGAGGCGCGTCTGCTTCTGCTCATCCGTCTCCGTGTTGATGGTCGCCGCAGCGGCGGCGGGTGTTGGCGCACCAGCGTTGGCTGCCTGGGCGGCTGGGCCGTCGGCCTCGCCCGCGGCTGCCGTCGCCTCGCCTGAGGCCGCCTTCCGCTTCTTCGCTATCCTCTCCAAGATCACTGCCTGGTGCGCCGTCGCCTGCTCCATCCACGCTTTGACCTCCTCAGATTTGGTGGCCAAGCTCGTGCGCGTAGCGAGGAGATCCTTCTGTAGCTTCTCGAGCGTCTGTCTCTCCGACTCCGTGCACTCCATCTCTGGCAGGCTGTCGAAGAACTTCTGGTCCCACCCGATCCTGAACATGGGGCCGTCCGTCTCACTCTGCGCTGGCGGAGTGGGAAACGAGCCGACCCCCTCGGCGATCGCGAGCTTCTTCGCCGCGTTCGCCTTGGCCTCCTGTGCCTCGGCTAACTTCAGAGCCGCTGTCTGCTCTTTCTTCTCTGCCGCCAGGAGGCTCGGGCGTAACCGCATCACCGACGCCACAGCTTGTTCATGAAGGTGGGCGGCGTTGCGGTAGGCGCCGTCGGCCAAGCGCAGCGCCTCCACGGGGCTCTGCTGGGCCTCTTGCGCACCCTGGCTCTCGAGCCTCTTCAACTGGGCCTTCAGTGTGGACTGTAGGCCCTCGTCGTCGGTGGCTAAGATAACCTTCTGGAGAAGGTCGGTCACCTCGCCTCCGCCGCGGCCGCCCTTGCCCGTCTTCCGAGGAGGTGCGCCACGGTGTCCTCCTGGCGAGCTGCTGTGACTGCGGGGCTTCAAGATTCCCCGCGGCTGGTCCACGTCCTCGATGCAGTCCTGGAACTCGTCGCCCCAGCTGGCTATGTCCTGCTGGAACGTGACCCTGGGACTGTGGTTGGGGCGGAACAGCACAACCTTCTTCCTGCATCCCTGGCATACAAGTTTGTTCATCGCCAGTACTGAATTCCACTCACATTTGCCACACGCGCACCTGCTCCAAAGGGGCTTGCCGTAAGCACCTGGGGCCATGGCTGCGGTGGCTGCTCTGCCTCTGTCTTTGTCGAGGCCCTGGCGGTGTGGCAAGCCGCCGAGGACCTAGTCCCTCAAGCACTGCGCGGAAGTGCAGAGGCCCTGGGCGCCAGCAAAATGCTCGAGCCCAAGTTGCTTGAGATAGGAAGAGGAGGAGGAGGAGGAGGAGGAGAGGAGGAGGGAGGATGGAGGAGGGAGGAGGAGGAGGAGGAGGAGGAGGAGGAGTACACGGAAAAGGAGGAGGAGGAGGAGGCGGAGAAATGAGGAGGGGAGGAGGAGGAGGAGGAGGAGGAGAAGGAACGGTTGAAGGAGGAGTGAGGGGGAGTGAGGAGGAGGAGGAGGAGGAGGGAGGAGGAGGAGGCTGAGGAAGAGGTGGAGGGAGAGGGGAGGAGGAAGGAGGAGGAGGAGGAGGAGGGAGGAGGAAGAGGAGGATGGAGGAGAGAGGAGGAGGACGGAGGAGGAGGCGGAGGAGGGGGAGGAAGAGGGAGGAGAGGAGGATGGAGGAGGAGGAGGGGAGGAGGATGAGAGGAGGAGGAGGAGAGGAGAGGGGAGAGAGGAGGCGGAGGGAGGCGGAGGAGGAGGAGGAGGAGATGAGGAGGAGGAGGAGGAGGAGGCAGGAGGAGGAGGAGGAGGAGGAGGAGGAGGAGGAAGAGGAGGAGGAGGTGGAGGAGGAGGAGGAGGAGAGGAGGAGGAGAGGAGGAGGAGGAGGAGGGGAGGAAGGAAGAGGGAGGAAGGAGGGGGAGAAGGAGGAGGAGGAGGAGGGGGAGGAGGTGGGGATTGGAAGGTGGGGGGGAGGAGGGGGAAGAACGGGAGGAGGAAGGGGAGGGAGTGGCGGATGAGGAGGAGAGGCGGATTGAGGAGGACGAAGCAGGAGGAGTTGTAGGAGGAGGAGGAGTTTGGAGGCAGGAGGAGGAGGTAGGAGGAGGAGATGAGAGGAGGAAGAGGAGGAGGAGGAGGAGGAGGAGGAGGAGGAGGAGGAGGAGGAGAGGAGCAGGGAGGTGGAGAGTTGGGGGAGGAGCAGGATGGGAGAAGGAGGAGGAGGAGGAGGGAGGAGGGGAGAGGAGGAGGCGGAGGAGGAGGAGGGAGGAGGTTGCAGGAGAAGGAAGGAGGAGGAGGAGGAGTGAGGAAGGAGGAGGTAGTGGAGAGGGGGTGACGGAAGGGGAAGGAGAGAGGGAAGAGGGGGAGGAGGGGGGGGACGCTGTCATCGTCTCCTCCTCATCCGCCTCCTCCATTTCCACCGGCCCGTCGCCCTCGCTGCTTCTCGGGCTCCCGACTTTCCTACTTGCCTCCGCTCGTCAGTGAAGCCTCGTTCTACTCGTTCCGCCGCCCTTCTCCTTCCAATCATCCTTCCACTTCTCCACTTCTTCCTCCACGTCCTGCTTCTCCTTGTCCGACTCCCTCTCTACGTCTCCTTCTTACTCGTTTTCCTCCTCCTCCCGGCGCTATGGCCCTTCTCGTCTTCGCCCGTCCAATCATCCATTCCCTCCTCCTCCTCCTCCTCCTCCTCCTCCTCCTCCTTATCGCCATCCTCCACCCACTTCGTCGCTTCGTGGTCCCCCTCCCCTGACCCATTCCCCCTTCACCAGGTAGTCCTGCTAGTTATGCTCCCTCTGCTCCCGCTGCTCGTGCTCCTCCTTTTTCCTCATATCCTCAGCTCGACCCGAGGACATCAACTTGTACGCCGACCCCGCCCAGCACGTCTATTTCGTGGACCTCGGGGAGGAGGAGGAGGAGGAGGAGGAGGAGGAGGAGGAGGAGGCGGAGGAGGCGGAAGAGGATGTAGAGGGGAAGGATGATGAGGAGAAAGGATGAGTAGGATAAGCAGGAGAAGAACTGAGATCGATGAGCATTCGGATGATCAGCAGAAGACTGCGGAGCACCAGACGGAGGATAGGAAAGGGGAGGAGGGACGGAGAGGGTGAAGGAGAAGGGGAATGCGACATCGAGGAGGAGAAGCACATCGAGAAGGGTGAGTTGGAGGAGCAGCATCATCAGGAGGAGGAGGAGCCAGAGACGGAAGCGAGGAATCTTTTGATTGTACCGATTCGAAGGATGAGCACTTCAGAGAAGGATGACGCAGGCCTAGACGATGCGGAGACAGGGGCGGGGAAGCAGCATGGCCACGACGAGGATGAGTACGGTGAGGGTGACCAGGAGAAGAAACACTAGGATGAGGAGGGCGAGGAAGCCCAGCTGGAGAGCAGGGAGGACGAGGACAAGTAGGATGACTAACAGCACAGGCATGCTGTTCGTGGCATGGTTATTCCTCTTCTTCCTCTTCCCCCTCTCCCCACTGCTGTCCCGGCAGCGTGGCCGCTCCGAGTGCCGCAGTGGGGCTTCCTGCACCCCGAGCCCGGGTCCGTGATACGCTTCCGCTGGTCCTCGGGACCCGCTGGCAATTGCACGTGGCCGAAGTCCGGTTGGCAGTCTTACACCCCCCGTGGAGCCGCTGCGGGAGGCGATGTGGGTCGCGCGACTTGCGATGCAGCAGGCTGCACTTCAAGGCTCCGTACAGTCGGGGCGCTGAAGAAGGAACCCTTTTCGCTGGGGAGGGGCTCGGTGTTCCTTGATTGTTTCAAAGTTTGCCTCGGGTTTTCCTGAGGTTTTCCATGGGAAATCGAGGTTGAACTTATGGGAAAAAGGGGCCTCGTTCCTTATTTAGGGTTCCTTAGGTCAACGCCTCGACTGTAGCTTCCCCCCCTCCTCTCTGCCCTCCCTCTCCTTCCTCTGTCCGAGGCGGAGCGCTGGCGCTCGCCCTGCCGGGGCGGGCCCGCTCTCCGCCTCCTCCTCCTCTGGCTCCTGCCCCCCTCTTTTCCAGTTGGGCCTCTGCCGGTGGTCGCGCGGTGGCGCGATCGGTTATGACGCCCAAGAGGTCTCCAAGGCGGCTCAAGCTAACCGGCGAGGGTTCAGAATATAGCTCCCGGCATGCCTCCAAGAGGCCCGGTGATGGCCAAAAGACGGGTCAAAGGGAGTGGCTGGAGGCGGTGTAGGTCTGGCTGCTCTTCAGCGCAGGTCTCTGCCTCGCTGCCTTACCTCGTCGTGTCTCGGGACGCCCGAAATGGGTACGGAAAGAATGGGTACAATGCCCAACAGCGGATCTGGTTCATTTTGTTTGAACAGGACTCGCTGTCCACGCCGCCGCGGCCTGCGCCCATTCGGGACAGAAGGCCGCCTGCCCAACAGCGGCCGCTGTTGGTTTGGGACAACATTTGCTGTTGGGCATTGTACCCATTCTTTCCGTACCCATTTCGGGCGTCCAAAGTGTCGCGTCGAGGAGCGCGACTCAGCGTAAGCTCTTGGCGCTCCACGCGGGATTTCTTGGATCCGCGCTGGGCGCCCCGGCGCCGCCCCTTGCCGCGCTCCGCGCGCCAGGGAGGGGGGTCCGGCGCAGATCCGAGAGATCCGCGCGGAGCGCCAAGAGTTTGTGGTTATGCTGTTTCTTGTTCTTCCTCTTCTTCTCCTTCTGATTATCAGTATCCTTCTTCTTCTCCCTCTGAACACAGACGCACGAAGCCGAGAAATGAACGGGAAATGGACGTCCGAGCGATGGCAGGAGGTCTGGGACCCCAAGAGGGCTCGAAAAGGCATCGGCAGACCGACAGTCAGGAACTTTGGCCCAGCGTGTCACGCCGCCGGGTCTGGCCCACGACGCTTCGGCGCGGCACACTATCCACGTCCCCATTCCCGAGGGTCAGCGTCCCGAGGTTTTCCCAGCCTCCCGCCCCGCAGAGCGGAGCGACATGCTGAGCAAAAGTTCACGACCGCACATCCTCGTTCCTCCTCCTCCTTCTCCTCGTCCTCGTTCCCATCATTTTTGTGCGCTGGACGGACATGAAGGCCAGGCTCGTTGCGTTCCTCCTCCTCCTCCTCCTCCTCCTCCTCCTCCTCCTCCTCCTCCTCCTTCTCCTCAACCTTCTCCTCCTCCTCCTCCTCAGCCTTCTCCTCCTCCTCTTCCCCTTCGGGGGTCGTGCTTTTGTTCCTCCTCCTCCTCCTCCTCCTCCTCCGGGGCCGTTTTTTGTGTGGCAGCGTGCGCTCCTAGAGAGCTGCGGCCCCCCCTTGCCCCGAGGCCGGCCGTGCGACCCTGGCCGGGCCTCCACGGCCCCCACGGGCCCAGCCAGGGCCCCCGAGCGTGCCCGTGAGAGGGGCTCGCCGTGGTTTGTTCGCCACGGCCACAGACATGCTCGCGTCGTAAACAGTATCACAGCGGGAGGGGCTGTTGTCCGTTTTCGGGCTCGGGGGGCCCTCAGCACAGCAGCGGTCGCGAGTTGCATCGACGCGCTCAACAATGCTCCGCCAGATAGTTGGTTTCAGCTAGCTTCCCCACGAGAGCTGGGAGGAGGCGGGGCGACGCACCAAGCAGAGAGCAACTGCGGCTTTCAAGATGTTTCCGGTGTCGGACTGACTCGTCGCGCTGGACCGCTCAATGCGCCTCGTGGCGCGGCTCGCCGCCGGCGACTCGCAAGCATGGCTGGCTCGAGCTCTTCGGTGGCGGCCGTCCGGCGTCAGACGCCGTGGGCGGCGGGAAGAGCCTTGCCCTTGGCAGCGTTGCCCTCGGCCGCGGCAGCAGGAGGAGCAGCGTCAGGCCTTGGCCGCGGCAGCCCTTGTGATTCGCGGCCAGGAGCCTTGCCCTTGGCAGCGGGAGGAGCAGCATCTTCTCGAGATTTTACGAGGAGCGACGGATGTGTATACCTTCGAGTGGTAATTTTTAACAGTGCCTTGTCCATTCCTTTTCTCTTGCATGCGCGTTTTCTTGCCGTATCGTGTCTCACGCCCTCCGGCTCCGCCTGCGGAGCGAGGTGCCTCCGTGGGCCCCTCGGCCGGACTCGACTTGACTTGACTTGACCTGGGGCCCTCGCCGGGCCCCGTGACCGTCAAAAAACGACTCGGGACGAAAAGCCGGCCCCTGGCAAAGGGTCGGGACTTCCAGGGACGCCGCCCTGAACAAAATCAGGACGTCGCATGTCTGGGGCCGTGATTTGCCTGCCACGGCGCCGTCGCCGGCCACGGATCATGCAGCAATGTCGGGGGGCGTCGGCCGTCCTGGAGCTGTCGGTCCTTCCCCAAGAGCCTGGTGTCCGACCTGTGCCTGGCGCGTCGTCGACGCCTGGTCGACGCGCAGTCGACGCGGGCTCGACACGGACTCGAGGATGCGGCATGGGCTCGACGCGGGTAGTGGCGCGCTGGGACAGGCAAGGCCCCCCCGAGGATGCAGCCGTGGGTGGGGGGGGGGGGCTGGCTGAGGCATGTGTTCGGGAGGCCTCAGACCCCGCGGGGATCCTTCTCTGAGGAGGGCGGCGGTGATGTCCGTGGCCAGTCCACGAGTGCAGCTCCACCAGCTCCCAGGCCCCGCGCTCCTTATCCAAGCCCAGCCATGCGACGCCCTGATTTTTGTCAGGACGGCGTCCCTGGACGTCCCGACCCTCTCCCTGGGACCGGTTTCTCGTTCCGAGTCGTGTTTCGTTGACGGCCCCGAGGCCCGGCGAGGGCCCCCCTGGGGGCCGAAACTAGCCAGAAACCTCCCGTCCTGATTTTTGTCACGCCGCGATCGTGTTTGGAAGGGCGGGCAGCGGGCTCTCCAAGAAACGGAGTCCGAAGGACCTGCGGAGGTCCAGGGGCCCCCCCTGCAGGGCGGGGTTTACCACTCGGGGCGGCCCATGGCGCCATCCTGGGCCCCCTCCCGGGGTCAGGCCTTCAGAGAAGGAGGCGGCAGAACCCAGACACGATCGCGTCGCAACAAAAGTCAGGACGAGAGGTTTCTGGCCTGTTTCGGCCCTGGGGGCCCCTCGCCAGGCCTCGGGACCGTCAACAAAACGACTCGGGACGAGAAGCCGGTCCCAGGGAACGGGTCGGGACTTCCAGGGACGACGTCCTGAAAGCATCAGGACGTCGCATGTTTGGGTTCAGAGGAGGAGGAGGCGGAAGAAGAATCGGAGATGGGTCTCGAGGAGGAGGACGCTTCCCCGAGAGCAGACGTTGCGAACAAATTGCAACATCACGGACAATCGCGACCAGAGCCCGGGACCCCATTTTCGTGCGCCCTTTTCCCTGCCAGATGGATCTGTGAGGATGCTGGGGCCCGAATCTGGGTGAAAACGCCCGTTGCGAAACAATTGCAACGCCAGGATCTTCCCAGACATCCGGCGTCCCGATTTTTTCGAGACGCGGACCTCCAACCTCTTGACCGCCTCCCCAGGACTGGCTTCTCGTCCCGAGTCCTTTTTTGACAGCCACGAAGCCCGGTAAGGGCCACGAGAGGCCGAACACGAGGAAACACTTCTGTCTCGATCTTTTCGAGACGCCATGATGTCTGGGTCAGGGCATTTTTCTGGCGACCGTTTTTCATCCTGTGTCGTTTTTCGACGGCCCCGAGTCCTGGTATAAGGGCCTCTCCCTCCCTCCCTAGATCACCGATCATCAATCCCCCCCCTCCCCCAAGCCCTTCGACGACGTCGACCCCCAGAGGTCTGAACCCCGTCCCCAGGACGGGTTTTTCATCCTGGGTCGTTTTTCGACGGTCCCGAGGCTCGTTAAGAGCCCCCGAGAGGCCGGCAATGGCGAAAAACCTCCCAACGTGGATTTTGTTGCACAACGCGAGAGGGTATGGGATCTCAGGGCCTCGCCAGGACTTCGAGGCCAGCCTTCATCGACACCTGCCGAAGCCTCCTGGGCTCACTCCCGGCGCCTGCGACGACGACGACGACGACGACGACGACGACGACGCCGACGCCGACGACGACGACGACGACGACGACGACGACGGCGACGACGACGACGGCGACGACGACGGCGACGACGACGACGACGACGACGACGACGACGCCGACGCCGACGACCTCGCCAGGACTTCGAGGGCACCCACGGCACGCAGCCTCTGGAGCTGAGCCTCGCCGGCGGCGCGGACGCGGACGTGGACCGGGCCGTGGAGCGCTGCGTGGGCAGCGGGCCCCCCGGCGGGCCGAGCCTCTCTCCGCGCGCGCGCTGCCCGCGCCGCCGCTTCTCGCGCGCGCTGCGCCGCCGCCTCGCCGCTCGCCGTGGCCTCTGGGGTGGCGGGCCGTCGGCCGCGCGCAGAGGAGCGGGCGGCTTCTTTGGTAGGGGGCCGCATGCGAGCCCTACCCCTATCCCCCACGATTTCTGGGGAGGCCCCCAGCGGGCCGAGCCTCTCCGCGCGCGCTTCCCTCGGGAGGAGAGAAACACACAGGCACGATTCCTCGTCGAGTCCCCAGAAGAAGATGGGGAAACATGGGCAGTGGGTGGGAAGACAGAAGCCCAGAACATATCGGAGGTTGGGGGGTGAGATCGAAGTGGAACGGAGAGCCCCCCTACCGGGAAATCGATTTCGGTTTCGTGTTCGTGCGTGCCGTGCGGGCGAGGCGAAGCTGCGTGGGCGGGCGAGAGGAAAGTCTCCTGTGGCTGAGGCGCGGCCGGACCAAATGATTCTCCGCCGGGCGGCCGGTGGCGCGCGGTGTCTCGCCGGTGTTCCGCTGGTGTCCCGTCGGTGTCCCGTCGGTGTCCCGTCGGTGTCCCGATGATGATGTTGATGATGATTATGATGATGATGATTATGATGATGATGGTAATGATGATGATGAGATGATGTTGATGATGGCGGTGATGATGATGTTGATGTTGATGTTGATGATGATGATGATGATGATGATGATGATGATGATGATGATGATGATGATGATGATGATGATGATGATGATGATGATGATGATGATGATGATGATGATGATGATGATGATGACGTCGATAGTGATATCGATTGTGAGATCGGTAGTGAGACCGAATGAGACAGCGAATGAGGTCTTCTCTCAGGCTCTCCTCCACCACGCACAGTGTTGCGCCACTTCCGGGGCCGATCCATGAGGCCTCCGACAAAAAAATCTCCACTGGCATCGTCAGGAGAACAATCACCACTGTTGCCCATTGCTCGGCCCCTCCACCCCCCCCCAACCTCCTTATCACCCGTAGGGTGGTCGTATAGGTAAGGAAAAATATCGGGGAATCCTGTTATTCCCCATATCCTAAGATGGGGTTCTTGTTATTACTTGGACGCCTCCTACTCACTCTCCTCCTTCCTCCTCCTCTTTCCTCCTCCCCTCCTGTCGGAACTCATACCCAGACTTACTCATACACAGACTTACTCATACTCAGACTTACTCAACACACATCAGATTTGGAGGATGTCTCAAGCGGGGCGCTGGTTTCAGCACCCCTAAGGGGAGCCGCCAGGGGTGGTTGCACGGGCTCGTTCGCGGCCATTTTGTGGGGATGTCTCAGGCGGTTTGCTTGTTTCTGGGCCAACATCCATCCTTTCGCTTGGGAGCAGATTGTGAGGATGTCTCAGGCGGGCGCTGGTTTCAGCACCCCTAAGGGGAGCCGCCAGGGGTGGTTGCACGGGCTCGTTCGCGGCCATTTTGTGGGGATGTCTCAGGCGGTTTGCTTGTTTCTGGGCCCAACATCCTTCGCTTGGAGAGCAGATTGTGGAGGATGTCTCAGGCGGGGCGCTGGTTTCAGCACCCCTAAGGGGAGCCGCCAGGGGTGGTTGCACGGGCTCGTTCGCGGCCATTTTGTGGGGATGTCTCAGGCGGTTTGCTTGTTTCTGGGCCAACATCCTTCGCTTGGAGAGCAGATTGTGAGGATGTCTCAGGCGGGGCGCTGGTTTCAGCACCCCTAAGGGGAGCCGCCAGGGGTGGTTGCACGGGCTCGTTCGCGGCCATTTTGTGGGGATGTCTCAGGCGGTTTGCTTGTTTCTGGGCCCAACATCCTTCGCTTGGAGAGCAGATTGTGAGGATGTCTCAGGCGGGGCGCTGGTTTCAGCACCCCTAAGGGGAGCCGCCAGGGGTGGTTGCACGGGCTCGTTCGCGGCCATTTTGTGGGGATGTCTCAGGCGGTTTGCTTGTTTCTGGGCCCAACATCCTTCGCTTGGAGAGCAGATTGTGAGGATGTCTCAGGCGGGGCGCTGGTTTCAGCACCCCTAAGGGGAGCCGCCAGGGGTGGTTGCACGGGCTCGTTCGCGGCCATTTTGTGGGGATGTCTCAGGCGGTTTGCTTGTTTCTGGGCTCAACATCCTTCGCTTGGAGAGCAGATTGTGAGGATGTCTCAGGCGGGGCGCTGGTTTCAGCACCCCTAAGGGGAGCCGCCAGGGGTGGTTGCACGGGCTCGTTCGCGGCCATTTTGTGGGGATGTCTCAGGCGGTTTGCTTGTTTCTCGTGGCACTATCCTCCAACATGACATGCACTTATGGCCTTGTGTGGCTAAACGCTCGTCTTACATATCCCACTGCCAACTATCCTACAACATATGCACATGTGGGAAGCTCCAAAGCTACCACGGGCTGAAAAGGGGAAGGCCTGGCAGCTGAGGAGGGGGGATGAAGAGGAAGAGGCTCGCATTCAACCATACTCAAAGCTCACTCTGACTCACACGCAATCGCTCGCATTAGGGGTCACTCGTCTTCGTCGGCCCTGTCGCCCACGTGGACGCGCTATTGTAATCGACCGCTCATGAACAGACGCTCACCACGGCATGACATAAAACATGAGATGCACATATGGGGAGCTCCACGCAGTGAGTAATTTGTGTGTATTTATTTGTGTGTCCCAGGGCCCCGCGCGTCGCATCGCGCTCTGCGCCGCCGCTCGCCGCTCGCCGCGGCCTTTGGGGTGGCGGGCCGTCGGCCACGCGCAAAGTTAAGTCGGGCCTGTCCCCCTACCGGGGGATTTTCGACGAAAAATAAAAGATACCCCAAAAATATTCAAACATAGTCCAAAAATAACCCTGAACCCACGAAAATAACCTCCCAGGGATAGTAAAGTTCGGGGTTTTCGGGGAGATAATACAAGTTGCCCGCCAGAGCCGGCATAAATATATATCAAGAGGAAAAAGCCAAAGATATCTTGTGGATTGTCTCGGTTGAGACATCCTCAACGAATTGCTTGTTTCGTTTGAGACATCCTCGAAATATTGGTCTGTTTCGCTAAAGACATCTTCAAATTATTGCTTATTTCGCTTGAGACATCCTTGAGGGAGGAGGAGGAGAAAGAGCAAGAGGAGGAGAGGAGAAGGAGGTAGCAAAAATCCAAAGTTTAAAACTTATTAGAATTAATGTGTAGACGATTGATGAAAATTATAAGTTTCATCTGCTCGTGTAGGGTAGCTCACATGCCTCGTTTTCCCGGATAATCGACCCCAGCGGTAAACAAGTTCAGGGCGCCAGGGGGAGGAGAAGGAGAAAGATATAGAGAGAGAGACAGAGAGAGAGAGAGACAGAGAGGCCAGGAAGGAGAAAGAGATAGAGAGGCATAGAGAGAGAGAGAGACAGAGAAAGAAAGAAAGAGAGACAGAAATAACTACAAAGAGACAGAAGGACATTGGTTTCGCTTGAGACATCCTGAAACGACGTGTTCGCTTCGCTTGATGTTGTTATCTCAACATAAGAAGGAAGTAACCTCGATGGCGAACTTTTCCCGTGATAATGAAGTTCGGCCTCCGCGCCCCCGCGCCCCCGACCAAACTCTTATTGGTCGACGATAAAAAAAAAAACTCTAACGACTTAAGGGGGGGTACATTATTATCGTGGGCATGGGGTTAGTCTGGGGACTATTTTTTTAGTATTGTTGTTGGCCTTTTGGGGGTATTTGTTTGGGTATTTTTAATTTGTTGTCCAAAATCCCCTTTAGGGGGACAGACCCGACTTAAGCGCAGAGGGGCGGGCGTCTCCTTTGGTGGGGAGCTTCCCAGACGTGATCGCGTCGTGAGAAAAGATCAGGACAGGAGGTCTTGGGCCAGTTTCGGCCCCGGGGGGGGCCCCTCGAAGGGCCTCGGGACCGTCAACAAAATACGACGCGGGACGAGAAGCCGGTCCCCGGGAAAGGGTCGGGACTTCCAGGGACGCCGTCCTGAAAAAAACAGACGTCGCATGTCTGGGTCTGGGCCTCGCAGGTGGGGCCCGAGCAGATGGGGTCGCAGGATCGCGCCGCATCGCCGACGCTGATCGGCGATGTGGTTCGATGCGTAGCCGGGTTTCCTCCGCGAAGACGCCGCCGATGCCACCGCCGACGCCGCCGATGCATCGCCGATGCATCGCCGACGCATCGGCGACGGCGATGCGTCGGCGGCGATGTGCTCAGCTGCCTCCATGCGTCCGTTTTGAGGAGCAGCGCGTGCCGTGCTCCGAACGTCCGTGCCGATGCGTGGCGTGTTGGCTCGGCACGTGTTGGCCTGCGTTCTGGCGAACCCATCGCGCCAGGCCCACGTGTTCGGCCTGCGTGCTGAGCTCCGTGCGTCAGCACTCTGCGTGTTGCGCGCTGCACGTCGGAGCAGCCAAGGCGCTGTGGCTTCGGGCTGAGATGTTTGAAGGGATGGGCGCCGCACCATATGCTGCACCCCCAGCCCCAGCGCGCGACGCGCGCCAGGGGCGGGGTTCCGGCCCGCACCCCCCAGAAGCTCGCACGGACCACTCGGCCACGCGCAGAGGGAGGAGGGGGGAGGGGGGAGGGCTTCTTGGAAGCACCCCTGCTTCCTGGAAGGCCCTGGCCCTGTCAAACGATGTATGCCCGGCGCCTTCCCCAGAAGCAGCCTCCTTCGAAGAAGCCGCCCCCCCCCCTCCCCCCCACACCCCCTTGTTCGCGCCGCCAGCAGGCATGCCGGCGACACAGGAAAGTCACGACGGGAGGTCTGGGGCGATGTTCGGCCTCGGGGGACCCTCGCCCTGTCCCTGGGCCGTCGGGAACGGACTCGGGATGCAAGAGCGGTCCCAGGGAGTGGGTCGGGACTTCGGGGGACCCCGTCCCGACAAGAGCTGGGCATCGCCTGCCTGGCGAGGGTGCCGAGGCCGCGCCTCGTTCTGGCGAGCCCTCGTCCCCGCGGCTGCAGCTCTCCCCAGGAAGTTCAGGCCAGGACGTGCAACTGGAGAGGTCGTCCCGGCATGGCGGTGTCCGTATCGTTCCGTTCCCCCAGCGTCGCCAGTCGTCGGTGGTCGGTCGTCGTGGGTCGTCAGACACATCGTCGGCCGTCGTTCGCCGTCGTCGGTCATCTTCCGCCGTCCGTCGTGGTCCTTGTTGCCGTCCTGGTCCTCCTCCTCCTCCTCCTCCTCCTCCTCCTCCTCCTCCTCCTCCTCTCCCCTACCTCCCATTCCCTGGTGTACCCTCCGTCCCCCATCCCCCAGTCCTTCCTCCACGTCCCCAATCCGTTCCTCCCCTTTCCATGCGCCCCCAGGGGGAATCTGCCCTGGGGCCTCCAGAAATCTCCAGAGCTGGAAGAGCCCACAAGTCCCTCGAACCTCGATCACCGATCATCGGTCCTCCCCCTTCTTCGAGGAGCAGAGATTGACATAAACATTCGCTTCCAGAGGTCAGCGCAGATGTCTTGGGCCAGCGCTGGACCCCTTTCTATGCCGCGCGGAGCGCGCCAGGCGCGGCGCCGGAGGCGCCGCCAGGGGGCTCCAGCGCCACTCCGAGAAATCCGCGCGGGCCTCCAGGAGTTTCTGCGGATACCATTATTTGAAAGAGCGTGCTCTGCTGCTGATGGCAGAATTCCGGGGGGGGGTCACTAAGGGGTTTCAAACCCGTCCCCCCCCCTCGAAAGCTGGCGGGGGGTCACTACAGGTTCGAACCGCCCCCCCCTCGGTCCATCATGAATTCATGATGGACCGGTTCGGACCCCCTCCCTTTAAAGGGGGGGTCACTACCGGTTCGGACCCCCCCCCCCTTTCCCCCTCCTCGCCGCCGGCGAACGACTCCCTCTCCTCCCCCACTCCGGATGGGGGACTGTGGTGGGGACAGTGGTTGGGACGGTGGTGGGGATGGTGGTGGGGAGTGGGGACAGTGGGACAGTGGTGGGACAGTGGGGAGAGTGGGACAGTGGTGGGGACAGTGGGGAGAGCGGGACCGTGGTGGGGACAGTGGTGGGGACAGTGGGGACAGTGTGGGACAGTGGGGACAGTGGTGTGGGGACAGTGGGACAGTGGGACAGTGGTGGGGACGGTGGTGGTGGGGACAGCGGCGAGGGGACAGTGTGACAGTGGTGGGGACAGTGGGACAGTGGTGGAGACTGTACTTATGGGGACAGTGGTGAGGGCGGTGGTGAGGACGGTAGGGAGAGGTACAGTGGGGAGAGTGTTGGGTACAGTGGGGACACTGGGACAGGGGTGGGGACAGTGGGGACAGTGCTGGGAGTCTGGGGACAGTGGGACGGTGGTGGAGACAGTGGGGACAGTGGGGCAGTGGTGGGGACGGTGGTGGTGGGGACAGTGGTGTGGGGACAGTGGGACAGTGGTGGGGCGGTGATGGTGGGGACAGTGGTGACGGCGGTGGATGGTACAGTGGGGACAGTGGTGGGATTGTGGGGACAGTGGGACAGTGGTGGCAACAGTGGGACAGCTCAGTTGGACAGTGGTGGGGACAGTGGGGACCAGTGGTGGGGACAGTGGGGAGAGTGGGACTTGGTGGGGACAGTGGTGGGGACAGTGGTGGGGAGAGTGGGGACAGTGCGACAGTGGTGCGGGCACTGGTGGGGACAGTAGTGGGGACAGTAGTGGGAACAGTGGGGACAGTGGGACAGTGGTGGGGACGGTGGTGGTGGGGACAGTGGTGAGGTCGGTGGTGAGGACGGTGGTGGGGTCCTGGGAGTCGTTCGTTTGCGGCGAGTGGGGGGGGGATCGAACCGGTAGTGACCCCCCCGGTTTTCTGGATGGGGGTGGAGGGGGGGGTGATCGAACCGGTAGTGATCCCCCCGGTTTTCCGGAGGAGGGGAAAGGGGTGGGGGAGGTGGGGGGGTTTTGCCGGGGAAGGGAGGGGGGGGAGGGGGGGGGTTCGAGCAGGGGGGGGAGATTTTCGGAGAGCTGGGTGGGTGCGACCCCCGTGTTCCAGAGGAAGAGGGGGGGCAGTTTTCCACACTACAGCGGCGGTGGATCACGCTTTCTGCATTATTTGTTACCCAAATCTAATGGCGTCAACTGCTGTGGACCGTAGCTTTCTTTGGAATTGTTTTTCAGAGGGGCTGTCGACGAATCGTCGCGGAAAATGATAGGGAAATGCACACAGCATACAGAAATTCGATTAGTGCATCATGGGATATATTGGGCTCGACTATGTCGCGGAGCCCCCTCCCTCCCGATGGGTCGGCGCTGGACCCGTCTGCCTGGCGCGCGGAGCGCGCCAGGGGCTGCGCCAAAGGCGCCGCAAGGGGTCTCCAGCGCCGATCCGAGAAATCCGCACGGACCTTTACGTCGTTATTGGTTCCCCGACTCAGGACCGACCCCATATCGAAGATACGCCCCACCCCTTTGTATATCTGGGTGGCCTCAAGTTTGGGGCTTATGCGAAGACCCCACAGAGTCGGCAGCGTCGGGGATTGGGGTCGCCACAACCCCCGTTGCAAGACCCATGAACCTCGACCACCGATCATCGATCCTCCCCTAGTCGGGGGAGCGTAAGACCCGGGTTTGCCAGGACTCGGGTTCGCCATCGTTTTTTGACGACCGCGACTCGGATTTTGACGAGTAGGAGTTTCGTGGGATGTCTGCAGCGGGAGGCCTCGTCAAAATGCAGGCTCGGCCTCGTCATTTTTTTGACGACCTCGTCGGGGATGTCCGAGTCCCCTGTACCTGGGTCTTACGCCCCCCTGACCTAGGGGAACAGACAATTACACAAGCAAGAACTCGGAGGTCCGCGGAGATCCCCGCATCGGCGCTGGGGCCCCCTTGGGCGGCGCCTCTGGTGCCGCCCCCCGCGCGCCAGGCAGGGGCCGAGAATCCCGCGCGGTCTTCCGAGTGGTGATGTTCCTGTCGCTGGTTGGTCTCCTATCATCCCCCTTCCCTCCCTCCCTCGCTCCCTCCCTCCCTCGCTCCCTCGCTCCCTCGCTCCCTCCCTCCCTCCTCCTTCCCCTGTCCTGTCCCTCCCTCCCTCGATCACGGATCAGCGGTCCTCCCCCTCCCCCGAGGCCCCCGACGTCGCGATTTGCTCACAACGTCGACCCCCAGAGGTCCGGACCCCTTCTCCGTGGCCAGCTGTTCCTCCCGTGAGTCGCTCGTGGACGGCCCCGAGGCCCGGCAAGGCCCCGCGGAGGCCGAGCATAGCGAGGAGCCTCCCGTCGCGCTCTTTTCGCCACGCGAGGGGGCCTGGGCCTCTCGCTTCCGCCCCAGGTCGTGGGAGGCGAAGCGGCGCGAGATGCTCAGGCCGGCGGGGCTTTCTCACTGACCTGCGGCGGGGCGCCGCCCCCCCCCCCTCGGCAGAAGCACCTCGGGGAGCCCGCGACTCGGTAGGTGGGAGCGTCAAGTCCGCAGGGCCGTCTGGGCTCTTCTTCCTCCTCCTCCTCCTCCTCCTCCTCCTCCTCCTCCTCCTCCTCCTCCTCCTCCTCCTCCTCCTGTTCCTCCTCCTCCCTCCGTCTGGGGGTGGGCGTCGCAAGGGTGGGGCCTCGAGCTCAGAACCAGCTATGCAGGGCAACGTCTGTCTCCTGCGCGGCCTGGCGGTCAACAAAAAAAGAAAGCCTCCAGGTGCGGAAGAGGGCGGGGAGGAGGGGGCGGCAGACGCGCCGCCCGCCTCACCCTGCAGCAGCCTGGGGTCCTGAGGTGGCCCAGCACTGGCTCTGGCGACCAGGACAAGGGGGACAGAGGCTCCTCCTCCTCCTCCTCCTCCTCCTCCTCCTCCTCCTCCTCCTCCTCCTCCTCCTCCTGTTCCTCCTCCTCCTCCTCCGTTCGGGAAGGTTGTTCGCTGGTTCGGCCTCGCTCGAGCCCGTTTTCGGGTTCTTGCCCCAGATGGGCACCGGATGGGCACCGGGAGTGGTCCGCTGGACCGATCGTGAAGGGATTTGGCCCCAGCCCTGTGGCCGATCTGCTGAGCCCCAACCCGTTCAGACCCACCAGCCGCCCTTTTCACTCCCCACCTCCCCCCTGGCACCACTCGGGCGTGCGCAGTCCTTTTTTCGAGGGGGGCCATCGGGGAGCATGTTGGGGCATCTTGTGGGGAATAAGAACAATCGCACGGAACAGAACAGTGCACGGGGACATTGGACGTCCCAGCGACGGCCAGCTCTCCCCCTCGCGGGGAGGGCCGCCGCCGCCTCTGCCTTGCCGCGCCGGGCCCTGGGCTCCTCTGGGACGTTTTTTTTTGTTGTTGGGTTGTCGCAGGGCGGCGCATGGCGCAGGCCCGAGGGGCACTCCTTCCGAGACCCCGGCGTCGTGACTTTGGCATGGCGTCGACCCCCAGAGGTCTCGACGCATTCCCCATGGAGCGGCTCTGTGGCCCCGAGGCCCTGTGAGTGCCCAGGGAGGCACTGTGAGCGCCCCGTGAGGCGCACAAGCGACAGACACATTTGAATAGCGGGCATCCTGGCTGGCATCTCGGTTGCTCTGGGGAAGCTGGGGGGGCTGACTGTGCGCAACCGGACGCCATACCAAGGAGGAGAGGGAGGAGGGAGGAGGAGGAAGAGCAGGCGGAGGCAGAAGAGAAGGGGAAGGAGCAGGAGAGCAAGACGTGAGGAGGTGAGGCGCAGCGCATGTACATCCAAGCCTCTCCCGAGGTGTTTTTGCCGGTTTGGGGGGCACGGCGTGGCCGCATGTCAGTGGGCCCGTTTGGGAGGGACGCCTTCCAGCCCGTACTCGCGTACCTGCTCTGCGACGCCATCCTCCCAGTGCCCCTGAGATCGAGGGCCGACCCTCTCGAGGATCGAGGATCTGGGCTCCTCGTCGTTTGGGATTTTTTCTGCCCCCCATGGAGGCCTCCGTGGACCTCGGGTGGCGTGGAGGTGCGCTCCTGAGGCCACCACCCCTCGTCAATCGTGGAAGACGCGCGCAACCAGCTGTCCAGCAAGCAGCCCGACTGAAGCACGAAACTTCTGACTTGGACGTCGAGCCACCGAACCGAGCGGCCAGCCAGCCAGCCAGCCTCCAAAGCACCTCTGGGCATCCTCCTCCTCCTCCTCCTCCTCCTCCTCCTCCTCCTCCTCCTCCTCCTCGGCGAACCCGACCAGCACACGGGGCGCCCACGCGGCGCCCCTCGAGATGGCACGGCAAGGTGGCCAAGACTCGGCGAGCCCATCCAGTGACAGGCCTGCACCAGCAAGAACCGCTGTGTGGAAGCACTGTGGAGGGAATCGCGTCGGCACTCGAGGCGCCGCAGGAGATCCGAGTGTGGGGGTTCTACCTGGCATCGCTCGGACGTGTGCATTTTTTCTCGGCGAGGGCCATCGATCAGCATCCTTGATCATTTGGCGAAAAAAGCACGCACGAAACCAAAAAACACAGGGAATGGACGTCCGAGCGATGGCGAGTCTAGGGCTTTGAACGAGTACGTACAATATTCACCCGCTCGGAATGTCCGAGGGCTTCCGCTCGGTGCGCGGCGGCACGCGGCGGCACTGGGACGACTCGGCAGAAGCGAATCTAGAAGCGAATCCAATCTTGATGTGTGCCGTGCCGATCGCAAGGCCTCCGAACACGATCAGCAGTCCTCTTAGCATGTGCCACCCCGTGTGCTGGCCTCGGCAGTGCGATTGGCTTGACACCGAGGTCATCATCTTCCTGACGCGGGAGAAGCTCGTGTGCCGCCGGGCGCTGGAGGAGTGCGAGCAGTTCGCCATCGCGGCCAACGCGCGCGTGATGTGCGCGCGGGCGCCTGCGCTGGTTCTGGTGCAGAACTGCTGCAGACCGAGCGAGGGGATCTTTGATCCCGGCAAGTGCACGGAGGCCTTCTGGCTGGCCCACCTGGCCCCGGAGCGAAGCGCCGACATGCCGTGGTCGAAGTTCTTCAGCAGCATCGACTGCTTCTGTGTCCCGGACGAGTTCGCGTTCTGCAAGCGGAGCGGCTTCGACGGGGAGGCGCCCGCCCCACCCCGGCCTCTCCTCCCGCCCTTCCCCCCGCCCTTTGCCCCCCCGGCCTCAGGAGGTCTGTGGCGAGGTCCTGTCCGGGCTGAGGGCTTTGGTCCAGAGGAGGATCCTCGAGAAGCAGGTGGCGGGCCCGCAGCGCCCGCACTCGGGCCTGGCCCTGTCGCAGCTGCAGTGGTTCTCCGCCCTCTCTGATGGGCCGGTTTCCGCCACCGCTGCCATAGGCATGCGAGGGAGGAGGAGGAGGAGGAGGAGGAGGAGGAGGAGGAGGAGGAGGAGGAGGAGGCGGAGGCGGAGGCAGAGAAAAAGGAGGAGGAGGAGGAGGAGGAGGAGGAGGAGAACCTCCACATCCTCCCTTCTCCCCCGTCGTACCTGTGGTAGGAATGATGGAAAATTGGCCCATCACGCTCCACGCTCTGCAGCGTCGTCAACAACCGCGAGAGGGTCGCCATGACGGCGATCTACATCCACGCCAGCGCGGCAGGGGGCGGCAGGGGCGCTCTGGAGTCGTTGCTGCTCCAGGTGCGACAGCACGTAGGAGCAAGGGCGCCCTGAGTTGTTCGCGTTTCGCGGTTCGGCTCCGACTCTTCGTCATCCTCCCCCATCTCCCCTGGGAGGAGGATGAGGAGGAGGAGAGGGAGGAGGAGGAGAGGGAGGAGGAGGAGGAGGAGGAGGAGGAGGAGGAGGAGGAGGAGGAGGAGCTGGGCTACGTGCGAGGAGGAGGAGGAGGAGGAGGAGGAGGAGGAGAGGAGGAGGAGGAGGGCCTGTAGGAGGACACGCCCGACCTAACCCTACGCCCCCCCCCCCCCCCTCCCCAAGAGTCGCGCACCACCAGACCCAGACATGCGACGTCCTGATTTTTTCAGGACGGCATCCCTGGAAGTCCCGACCCTTTCCCCAGGACCAGTGTTTCGTCCCGAGTCGTTCTTGGCGCTCCCGAGGCCTGGCGAGGGCCCCCTGGGGCTGAAAATAGTTAGAAACCTCCCGCCCTGATTCTTTCACGACGTGATCATGCCTGGGGAGGTCACGCCACTCCCGCCCAGGGCCGCGCTCCTAGAGAAGCGAGAAATGGCATGAACATAACAACTCGGAGGTCCGCGCGGATTTCTCGGATCCGCGCTGGACCCCTCCATGGCGCGCGGAGCGCGCCAGGGGCGGCGCCGGAGGCGCAGCCAGGGGGGTCCCGCGAGGATCCGAGAAAGCCGCGCGGACCTCCGCGTTTTTATGTTGATGCCATTCTTCGTTCCCCTAGCTCCTGCGTGCAGCCGACAGGTGATGGACTCCTGCCTGCTGCCCGACGGCCGCGTCTCCACGGAGCTCTTCTCCCGGCGCCTGCGCTCGGCGGTGGGCCTGGTGGCCCGCGTGGCGGTGCGGCAGGACCTGGCCGACGAGAGCCTCGACCAGGTCACGGGGACACGGGGCATTACAGTGGAGGCCCATGCCAAGAAACACCCTGCTTCCCAGACGTGATCACGTCGTAAAACAAATCAGGGCGGGAGGTTTTGGACTGTTTTCGGCCCCGGGGGGCCTTCGCCAGGCCTCGGGCCGTCAAAAAACGACTCAGGACGCAAAGCCGGTCCTGGGGAGAGGGTCGGGACTTCCAGGGACACCGTCCTGAAAATATCAGGACGTCGCATGTCTGGGGTGGAGGCCCATGCCAAGAACCACCCTGCTTGTCTCCAGGGGGCCTTGGGTTTCTTGGATGTCGATGGCTTTGCTATGGAAAGAGTGGTTCCCACACCAGAAATCAATGGACCTCCTTGGGTCTCAGGGTTGGGTTTCTTGTGGAAGGTTTCTTGTGGACTGGCCTCCACTGTTACAAAACAGGTGCCTTGAATTGTCGGCGGTCCGACCAACAACCTCGCTCACGAATAAACCAGAGCCTAACTACATCATTAGACAAAGCTGCATGAGCATGAGGCTTCTGGAGGTCCACGCAGACTACGTGGATCGCCGCTGGGCCCCTCTGGCGCCGCCTCTGGCGCCGCTCTTGGCGATGCCCCTGGCGCCGCCCCTGGCGCGCTCCTCGCGCCAGGGATGCATTCCAGCGCCGATCAAGGCAATCCGCCTGGACCTCCGAATGTCTTCAGGCTTCTGCTGTCTCTCTCTCTCTCTCTCTCTCTCTTTCTGTCTCTTTTTCGTCTTCTGAGGTCGCCGCGTACCTGCTGGATCTCTTCCCCTGCGGTGCCGTGGCGCCTCCGGGGGTCGAGCGCTTTGATGGCAGGCAGTGCCCGATTGTCTGCGGGCAGAGCAGGCTGGACCACTCGCTGCACTGCTCGCTGCACCGGTCCGCAACACTGGTGCGCACGGTCGACGCTGGGTGGCTGCAGGGGCTCGGCGAGTGGCTCCGCGGGGGCATCACCCACGCGTGGCCCGGCGAGTTTGTGTGCCACCCAGACGTAGCGGGCACATTTAGCGAGGACGCCATCCGCGGCGCGATCCGGAAGGAGGTCGAGGAGTACCGGGTAGAGCGGGCGCTGGAGGGCGTGGGGCTGCTGCCGGGGCCGTCGTGGGTGGCCAAAGCCCACGCCAGCTTGCGCGCCAGCGGGCTACAGGTCGTCAAGGACGGCACCCGCATGCTTGGTGGCAAGTCAGGGGATCCTGGTATACCCTCTTCATTCAGTCTTTAGCGTCGACTAGCGTCGATTAGCGTCTATGGGGGTCGATGAGACAGCGCCGATTCAGCGTCGGCTAGCTTCGGTTAGAGTTCATTCGCAAGAGCCGACAAGATGGTATGGGAGGCTCCCATGAGTGGCCACCGATCCGGTCACCCAAACCTACTAATAGAATGTGTCTGTCGCCCCCCCAAGGGGGATCGCGCGCACCGAGAATTCTCATGGCATATGATGCGTCATGGCGGGCGGTTTCTGGCCACACCGCTCGGGAAACGACAGGCTACACGATGGCGGTATACGATATGTTCAGGTCGGACGCGCGCCTCCAAGGAGGACATATAGCATTAGCACCCAGACGTGCGACGTGCTGATTCTTTCAGGACGGCGTCCCTGGAAGTCTCGACCCTCTGCCCGGGAACGACGTTGCGCCCTGAGTCGTTCTTTGCCGGCCCCGAGGCCCAGGGAGGGCCCCCGGGGGCCGAAAATGGCCAAAAACCTCCCGCCCCGCTTTCTCTTACGATGCGATCCCGTCTGGGCATGTCTCCGTGCGCCCCCACAGGACGGCACCCGCATGTGCGCCGTGTGCGGGGCCAAGGCCTCCAGCATGGGCTCCTTCTGGCGGCTGCTGCTGCCCCCCACAGAGGCGCGCACGCTTCCCGCCTGCGAGCACTGCCACGGTGTCGTGCAGTCACACGGCCTCGGCGGCGGCGCGGCTGGCGGCGGGACGCCCGGCGACGTGCTCGCGGAGCAGGCCCGGCGCTGTGCCGCCTGCGGCAGCGCCCAGGCTCAGTACCGTTCCACCGGCCCCTAGCCTTAAGTCGGGCCTGTCCCCCTTTGCAGGAGGAATCCGCAACACCAGTGCAAAAAAGGAGTCTGGGGACGATGTGTTGACTGGTTGTGCTTCTAGCTTTTGTGGATGCGTTCGACTATCCTTATGTTCCTTTCATCTTCCGCCTGTAGGAGGGCATGCCCGACCTAAGCCTAGCCCCAGCCCCTCCTTCCCAATCTCCAGGGATTCGAGGCTCCTTCTCCTCCTCCTCCTCCTCCTCCTTCCCCTCCTCCTCCTCCTCCTGCTCCTCCTCCTCCTCCCCCTCCTCCTCCCTCCTCACCCTCCTCCTCCTCTCCCTCCTCCTCCTCCTCCTCCCCTCCTTCTCTCCTCCTCCTCCTCCTCATCCTCCTCCTCCTCCTCCTCCTCCTCCTCCTCCTCCTCCTCCTCCTCCTCATCCTCCTCCCCCTCCTCCTCCCTCCTCTTCCCCCTTGGAGCAGCCGGTGTCCGGCAGCGCTCGGCCTCCCCGGGGCCCGCGTCGGGCCCCATGGGGCCGTCCAAAAAAAAGACTCGCGGGACGAACCACGGGCTCTACAGGCGAAGCTCGTAAGGGCTCACGGGTGTCCTCAGGGTGCAGGAGGAGGAGGAGGAGGAGGGTGAGAAGGAGGAGGAGGAGGAGGAGGAGGAGGAGGAGGAGGGGGAGGAGGAGGAGGAGGAGGAGGAGGGGGAGGAGGAGGAGAGGAGGAGGAGGAGGAGGTAGAGGAGGAGGAGGGGAGGAGGAGGTGGAGAAGGAGGAGGAGGATCCTCGATCGAGGCTTTTGTTGGGGCCCCGTCCTTGCCTTTTTTTCACTGGCCAGTCCTTCAGGGTGTTGGTAGCTCCGCTGCCCAAGAGGTGCCAGCTTCGGCGTCCAAGGCCCCTGCGTCCTCAAAGCCCGGCCTTACTTTTGATTTCGACTGTGGGGAAGTTGTCCAGACCTTTTGGGGCCCACGTGGCGAAAAGGTTGCAGCGGCCGGATGTCTGGGTCCCGACTAGTGAAACCAGGGCTTGCGCCTTCAACTCCCCAAACCAGGCCTCATCCCGCCAAGGCCCTCGAGAGCGCCCCCGTCAACACCTCCCCCTTCCCCTCAAATTTCGTCCAACTCCATATCATATGAAGAGGGCCCAGCGTGTTATCAGACGTACGACGAACAAGAGTGTTAGTTTGCAAGCGTTCACAGGCTGTTTAAAACTGATAGGGCACGCTACATAGACTTGCAATGTATTGCATTGCGCCGTGGACCGATAATTCGGATCCCATTGAGCATGCGTTGTATTGATCTTGAAGTCTGGGCCGACACTATTGTATTGCATGATGTAGGGCTCTGAACTTCACATGGCGTTGCGCTGAACAGTGGACCAAGACTGGTATACTTTGCAGTGATGGGCCGGCCAACAGTCGAACTGATTGGTCGACCGTCTCTTGTCACTGCCGTTTTTTGTGCTCAGGACAGATTGAAGTGCGGCCCTTCTGTCTCCCCGACAGTTCTTTCGAGCTTAGAGCCTCCACCGCTCGGGCCATGGCACCGAAGGCGATCCAGGATGCTGCCCCACAGACACGCCAAGAGAAGCGGATCGCAAAGCTGAACGTCAAGAATAGGCTCTTGAGCTTTAGGGTGAAGTTGCAGACTCGTCGGATCAAAGCATTGCGGACAAAACTGCAATGCATCAGTAGGCTCATCGTCTCAACTGTCAGGCATGACGATGCAGCCAACACTAGGTTCAGGGACGGGCCGCCAGGGCATGGAGATGGCTCCTCTTCAGACTGAGAGAGCTCCGAGTGCTGGCCCGTCCCTGTTCCCACGCTTTTTCATTTCAGTCTGTTTCATTCTGCCTCTCTCCACCCTCCTTCCCCTGCGTCAATTTTGACGGGCCTGATCTTTGATCCACGAGACTTGCGTTCGAGACAAGTTCGGATGTGTGCAACATGGTGCGCACGACAAAGAACAAACCAGAGCCTCAACCGCACCCCAACCATTTGTCACTAAACACTCTATCAACATGTTATCGTTTAGTTCCCACTAGCACTCATAAGCATGCAAAGGTCAATCCAATATTCGTTACTTCAACGCAGCCTCCTAAATCTCCCTCCCTCGCACCCTGACGTAAGCACGTAGCCCTCCTAATCTCACCATGGCCAATGCCTCCTTTGCACTCCCTCCGTACAGGCCCTGTTCACAAACGCAAATCAAACATAATTATACTAATCACCCTCCCCAGTCCTAAACTCCGTAGCCGTTTTGGCTCACCATTTCCATGGACATCGACCAAGACAGAGAAGTCCCTGTCTTGGCTGAGGGCGATGCTCACGATCTACCAGCCATGTCCCGATGGTCCGTGTTCTTTGTAATTGCTGCTCGGGAGTGGCAGAGGCGGCGGCTGCGCAATGTTTGGGATGACCTGGACGAAGTGTTCGGCACAGAAGTTCTAGAAATGCCACCACCTCGGATCACTTGCGCAGTTGTTGCGCACTGGACTCGGGTACGTGAGAATGAGGTTGATGTGCTAAGCCCTTTCGCGCAGCAGTGGTGCTCACATGCCCAGGAATCGGTTCGAGGTGCACCATGTGGTTTTATTGTTCATGCAGTGCGTGATCGCTTAATGTTCGACTCAGCTTGGCGTGTGAATGAAGCCGTCAGTCAAGCCATGTGGGTGTGTGGGCTCGGCTGCAGCAAGTTCTACATGAGCAGCAGTCTAATGCCCTCGCTGGCCACAGCCTGCCTGCAGGAGGACTTCTTGGCGCTGCCCTGGTCGAGGGCGTACCTATCCATGTATCCTCCACCATATTATTTTGGCAAGGCACGTGGTGCATCATGCAGATACCCTCCATGTCGTTGCAGTGACTCGCAGGTTGGACCATGCGAGTCTGCTGGCAGGCGGCCCCAAATGAATACGATTTCCAAGTGGAGGGGGACGTTGCCGGCAGCGCCATCGCAATCAGCAGCACATGCAGCACATGATGGAGGCTCTCGGAAACGCAGCCGCAGTCACCCTCTGTTCAAAGTTCGTCTTCAGAATTGCTTCGGACGGACAGTCTCGTGTGACGTCGTCTTCAATTGGATGGATGCAGAACGGCACTTGAGAGCCTTGAGACGGAAAGAAGAGTCGTGCGAGGCACACGCCGAACTCTTAGCCCAGGGTCGTCAAGACTCAACAGAAGATCTTTTCAACGCTCACGCATCTGAGCTACGAGACGATCAGGAAGTCCCGCGACAGGCTGGGCATGGCCAGTTGTCTTCTCTGGCGGGAGTTCTGCAGTACGTCAAAATGTTTGGATCTGTACTTTGGTGCGACTCGAGTCCTCCTCGGAGAGGATTGGAGCTTTACACTGCTGTGGCCGATATTGCCCAAGCCGGCTCACTTTGGCGACGACTCTTGCAACAAATATGCTTGCCGAAACGGTTGTTCGGTAGCGTCGGAAGAACGTTTGCATTTCTATGGATGCTGTGGTTGATGTTCGTGCCGACCTACGGCCGCAGAGTGGATGTCTGTAATCACATCAGGAGCTTGACGACGGATCTGGGCACAGAGGCACTCGTGGCCATCAGTGGTGATATACTGCAAGACTTCTTTCGCACCATCGGTGGGTACGTGCCGCCTAGCGCCATGAGGCGCGACATTTTTTTTTCCCCGAGCTGTGCGCGTGCCTGGATGTAAGCATGTGTGGATGGAGTATTTCGTTTCGGTATGTATTTATACAAGCGGTTTCCGTGGTGGCTGGAGAGACTGAATCACATCTTGGTTACGGAATCGACCAAGGCACGTTGGGTCTCCAATCGGCCTGCCCCGTGACGGTGTTTCGTTTTGTAGCAACAGCGAAATACGACGTGTATTGATTGTATGAAAATCAAGGTTCCAATCTGGAACGCAGGCTTTCGGGTCCTGGGTGCCGTTCGAGCCTAAAGGCATGACTGGTTATAACGCATAGGCAAACACAATACGTACTACATTGTGTAGGGTGCGCGTTCCTCGGGCGCGGTTGGTTTGCTATTCGTGCTGCCGAAATGCCAGAAACTGTGTAGTGGCCCACCTGCCGTGGCAATGTGCGTGCGCGTGCGCACGAACACACACGCGCACACATAGACACACACACACGCACACACACACATACACACAGCGCATATGTAACACATGCACCTCCCAGCTCGCAATATAGCATAGCTCGGCGTCGTTTCGCAGTACACGTGGCGCATGTGGCGCTACTTTGTAACGCTGGCCTATGCAGGCTTGCTAACTACTCCATGGATCTCAGGAGGCGAGGCGTCCACGCACTTGCCCAGATGGTGGAAGCAACGAGCGCCCCGTCGTTTGCCAAATGGCGTTGGGGCACGAAACTTGTGATTGCACGGCATCTGGGGCGATTCATCCACCCGTTCTCGCGCACTTGGACTACTGAAGGGCAACCCCCAAGCGTGGACGAACCCCAAATTTTGCACTTGATGACTGACGCATTTTGTTTTTGAGAGTGGATGACTGTATTCAAGTTCTTGCATTGTGGATGGGTGGGTGGGCTTCTCACGTAGGGTCTTAGCTGCTTGTGTCACATGGCCGAGCTCATGCGAGGCCAGAGCGTTCACTGTGCTGAGAAAAGGGTGTCTGTTTCACATCGTACACTCGCACGCTGCCGACGCGTTGCGGCGACATCTGAATGACGCTAACGGGTGGACGAGGGAATGGTTCGACGGTTGTGATGCGCTTTGGCGTCAGTTTCAAGGCTTTGTTCGGGCCGTCTACGCCCGCGCCCACCAGCAGCTCGATTGCTACCAGCAACTGCTCATAGCGATTGTTGTCTGGGCGAGCCTTGCATGAGAGACGTCATCATCTGAAAGTTCAGGTCGCATGCTCCTGAAGCGCACGAGGTGGCCACGAGGCTCACCCGTCTTTTCTTGGGGGCATGCGCGTTGATGTGGACGCCATGCTCCTCGACGGCTCGGGCCTAAGCGATAGGGTCGCCTAGGAGGCCCTGGGTGCTACCGCAATG